CAAATAGAACACCAAATTGATTTTTAATTTCAGCACAAAAATTCTGGAAGATAGAAAACAACTCAGAACGATCTTTCATTAGGAAAATCCAAGTACATCTTGAGTAATCATTAATAAAATTAACAAAATAACAAAATCCTAAGGTTGAACTAACTCTACTAGGACCCCAAATATTAGAATGAACTAAAGAAAAAATTGACTCTTAACGACTCTCAGCACTACGCGAAAAGGTGGCTCGGGTATGTTTTTCAAGTTGACACGACTCACAATCTAGTGTAGATAAACTAGACAAACTAGGCACCATCTTCTGAAGCTTTGATAAACTCGGATGTCCTAAATGTCTGTGAATTAGGTCCGGAGGATCTCTAACTGGACATATAGTGGAGGAATTGAGTGAGTTAAGGTAGTAAAGGCCTTGTGATACAAGCCCTGTGCCAATCGTCTGCCCCGTATTGCGGTCCTGCATGATAAAAGAATCAACAATAAAATATATACAACAATGGAGGGCACGAGTCAAATGACTAATAGATGCAAGACTAAAAGGACAGACATGGACATAAAGAACGGAATTTAGAGTGACAGAAGATGAGAGATTAGCTTGTCCAACTCCTTTTGCTTTAGTTTTGAACCCATTAGCTAAAGTAACAGTAGGAAATCCTGAGACCGTGAATACACAATATTCGACATAAGTAATTTATTACCAAAGATATGATCAGAAGCTCCTGAGTCCATGACTCACGGTCCAAGAGTACTAGATTGATAAACACAAGCAAAAGAATTACCAGCAACATGAGTATCAATCTGAGCAACAGAGTTTACTTGTGGAGATGTCTGCTTACTTTCTTGATGCCGAAGTAACTCATTATATTCCCCTTCAGATAAAGAAATTCCTTGGTTACCTATAGTCTTGGTCTGAGCAACATGAGCATTTATGGGTGGTCGACCATGTAAAGAATAGCACACTTCACGAATGTGTCCAAATTTATTACAATAAGAACACTTGGGCCGAGATCTCCCAAAACGACCTCCTCCTCGTCGATTCTCCATAGCTTGAGATGTTTGATTTTCCATTGTCTGATATGTGAGAATAGAGGAGTCAACGGTTGGTGGTGAGACCACTGTGTGACTGGTGGCGCAGCAAGACGAAGCAATATAGAGAATAGTTTAGAAACTGTAGGAACCGAAGGACTAGCCAAAATTTGGTCTCCCACTGAGTCAAGGTCATTAGGCGGTCCACTAGCAACTGTAGGAACCGAAGAACTAGCCAAAATTTGGTCTCCCACTGAGTCAAGGTCATTAGGCGGTCCACTAGCAACTGTAGGAACCGAAGAACTAGCCAAAATTTGGTCTCCCACTGAGTCAAGGTCATTAGGCGGTCCACTAAGTGTAAGAACTAGAAACATCTTCTGTCGTTGCTCTTGTTTTTCAACACTAGCCGTGACTGGCATCAACTTCTAAAATTTCTCCATAATTGCCTGCACTTGTTCCAAGTAGGTAGAAATATACAAATTCTTGTTTCTTAAGTTTGTCATCCGAGATATCATATCATAAAAACGAGATATGTCATTAGTGTATAAAGTACGAGCCTTCTTCCAAACTGAATAACATGTCTGGAATGGACGAAACAAAGGCATTAACTTGGAATCAATCAATCACCATAACAAACAACATAATTGAGCATCAATTTTCTCCTAGAGTGCTTTGGCCTTTTCATCCCCATCACTAGTCTTCTTGGCTAGGTGATCTTGAACACCTTGACCCTTGCACCACAACTCAACAGAAGAAGCAGGCTAAGTAGTTTGAACTTCCTCCAGAACCCATATTTTTAGAACCAAAAATATCAAGTCCCAAAGACATTGTTGGACCAAATAGCACAGACAATCAAGAACAATAAAAACGCACAAGAACAATGAAGAGAAAACACTGTATCTCACCGGATAATTAAAAGGTCGTCGGAATTTGATGGAATTTGGATGGATAGGCTCGGAATAGCCTCGCGAGCAAGCTGTCCAAAAGAACTTTTGTCAGAAACTGGCCGGAGGGCAGCTCACGCGCCGACGCGTGAGGAGATCTCGTCGGAATTTTCCTCCTTATGGTCGGCGCGTGTGGTGGTATTTTCCGGCGGGGTTTGCTGGGGTTTGGTCGCAGGAGGGTGTAGGACCCTGTGGTTGTGTTGGTTTTAGCACAACACTGAGGGAAACGTAGGTGATGCAATAACAACCCTAAAAGTCGCCGGAAATTGACACACAACGACTGTCTGGCGGAGTTTTCTTTCCCGGATGTTTCTCACCAACGCTCTGATACCATGTGAGAAGTATAGCACGGAAAAGTTTTATTAATTATGTCTAAAGTGTTGTACAATGCCCTATTTATACACATTGATTACATAATACTCCCTCCGTTTCAATTTAGATGAGGTAGTTTGACTAGGCACGGAGTTTAAGAAAAAAAAAAGAACTTTTGAAACTTGTGGTCTTAAAAGCTTAAGGAGTAAAAGCTTTGTGGAGCCATGACATTTTTGTGGTTTAAAAAGCTTCTCGTTAATGGCATAATGGGTAAAACGAAGAGTTTAAAATTAAATTATTTCCAAATTTAGAAATATGCCATTTATTTTGGAACAAACTAAAAATGAAAGTACCTCATCTAATTTGAAACGTAGGGAGTAATAGGTATCTACTTCCCGACGTGGGACACTATACATTACTAACTATTTAACAAATCTAAAAGACCCCTCAAAAATTGAATTCCCAACTCGTCCTACTAGGCCCCTAACATTCCCCTCCCATTCCAATGTTGTATTTGCCTAAAACAAGCTCACGTCGAACCCTTCGAGTTCAAAAACCAACCGATGGTTCTTAGATTATTATATTCATTAGCACAATATACACTATGTTCCCATTTATAAACTTTACCTCACCAAAAAAAAATAATGTTCCTATTTATAAATTAGGGAACATGAACAAAGTAGAACTCTTAAGAGAACTGAGACTCAATATTGAACAAAAGGGCAACGGAAAAATCAAACTAAATTTTGTAATAATATCGCAGGATAAAACCTTGGCGTAGCTGGTAAAGTTGTTGTCATGTGACCCGGAAGGTCACGGGTTTGAGCCGTGGAAACAACCTCTTGTAGAAATGCAGGGTAAGGTTGTATACCATAGACCCTTGTGGTCCGGCCCTTCCCCGAACCCCGTGTATAGCGGGAGCTTAGTGCACCGGGCTGTCCTGCTGCGGGATAAAATATATTTATCTAATCATAATTTGGTTAAAGAATAAAAATAAAATAAATGTAAACTAATCTGAAGAAATCTAGAGTCTGATATAAAATATCTCATTTTTAGAAGCTGCATCATGCTGTCTTGGTGGGCGAAAACTCGACCCACTGTAATCAATGATTAGGATAAATCGAACCGAATGATAGTATTATCTTGACTGTTGATCCTTTCACTGAGTGATAGTTTTTATGGGTTCTTTCTGAGAAGGGTTTCCTTTTGGAAGGTTTTCATGGTTATGTATGGGGAAAAAATGAGTGAATCACCTTACATTAACTCCGTATTGAGCGGAAAGACAAGTTCCTCAAGGTGGTCAAGTCGTTACTTTTTATACTGTCTTGCAGAACCATTGTCTCCAACTTCCAAAATCTCAAAATAACTGAGAGTGATTGTCGAGATAACCTCCCTACCATAGCTGCACCGATGCCGTGAAACCAGTGTTGTCAAAGGCAGAAAGCTCTAAAAAGCGCTCTAGGTGCTTTAAGCGCAATTTAAGTGTGGGCTTTAGTAAAAAAGGCATAATGAAGGACAAAAATACAATTATATATGTAAGTTCAGAAAAAAGTAATAAATTCATTCTTAATGTTTTCCTCAACAACTAATATACTTATTTGCCGATTATATTTGTTGTTTAGTACCACTTCATTCAAGATAGAACTCATGGGCAATGAGTGCTCCCGCATTAGTGCATTCCCTACACTGAAGCGTAGCTTAAGCGAGGCGAAACACTGTTCTTGAGCTTTTCTGGGCTTCAGGGTTTAGACACGCCTTAAATGAGCCTTTGACAAAAACGGTTTCAGTTGAATGCTGAGGATAGGGTTATTTGGTAGAGGAGAGTGTGATGATTATGTTCATAGATATGGATATTAAGAGTGCCACGCGATGAATTAGAATTTATGCTCCTATACTAAGATCGATGCACTACCAAAAAGAGGGAAAGGAGAAAGGTAAGGAAAAGATACGGAGGGGAATTTATAGGAGAGGTGAGGGAGAGATAATAAAAAGATCCGTAGTTTTCAGATCCTATCTAATTAAATGATAAAGATAATTTCAAACTAAAGCAAGTTATAATAACAATGAATAGGATGTAATAAATGATAAGTTCAAGTATGGTCTAATAGATAAATTTGACATATCATAAGAATCTAAAAAGATAATTACAAAAATAATTGTAAAAATAATGTGGAAAATGATACGGAAATTTAGCAAGATAATATCAAAAGTAAACAATAGTTTGGCTTTTCTAGTATAAAATCTCTTATATCTTTAGGGATGCATCTTAAGGAACCTGGGTTTTCCAAGTATGAAATTTAAAACAACTTAAAAATAATATATGTTACATACTTTTTTTTGCCAGATTCTTAAAGGAGTATCATTGGAATATTGCGAGTATGTAGTTTGTCATATTTTAATCTCCTGGAAGTGTTATGCTTACCATTTGTTATATTTTAATCTCCTGGAAGTAATGCTTAATATTTTTATTTGTAATAGTTTTCAACATTTTCTGTTTTAAACTTTCCTGAGCACTTATTAGCAGTCTTTGAGTTGAGCTTTCACAATTTGTATCATGAAGGAATGATTTGCACCATTGAATACATCAAGAGAAGTTAGAGATGTCCCATACATCTCTCCACGCCTCATGCTTAATCTTTCAGATTACTTGATATGTACAATTTAGATGATCCAGTTGATGTATAGCACCATCTCCTTACCATGCTAATTTTACAGGTATGAGGAAAGCTTATTGGATTACCTGCAATGTTGAACCTGACATACAACACCTATCCCTTGATAGGAGAAAGCTTCCAAGCAACTTTGTGGTGAGGCCTCGTGATCTGAACAGGTTATTGTCCAACTTCCAAACAACCCTTCAGGAGATCACAATCATTGCTACCAATCCAACTTCCTTGCCTCCTGATGCTGCAACTGAAATTGGAGGGAAAGCTGTTGAGCTCAGAAGTTATATAGACCCAACAAAAGGTATAGTGGGTTTTCTTTTTGTTTTCTCTTGCTTGTTTGTAGGCAGTTTTAAACTTTAGATCTTTCTTTGTAGACAATGATTCATCACTACACACTCAGTTGTGGATAGATCCCACTGAAGAGTTTGTGCAGTACAATCATATTGGAAACCCTGTGGATGTGACCTTTGGAGTGAAGGAATCGAAGGTATCCTCATTTCTCGTCTCTGATAGGAACTTTTCTAATCCAACTAAGCCTTTTCCAAGTCTGAAACCTTTTTCTTGATTTATTTCATTGATGGCATGTAATCACAATTTTGTTGCTGTAAAATAGTGCTTTTGTTTTATGGAGGTCTTTGTAATGTTTGCTGAACCTTTGTTTTTGTTTCTTCTTTTGCAAATTTTCTATTCAGGCTTTCCTTTCTTTCTGTGAGGGATGTGAAGTTGACATACAGTTCTATTTTGATAAAGCTGGCGAGTAAGATAATCTTACACTCTCTGCTTCTCCATTGACATCAGTTCGTTGTTTTTTTTTACCGTCCTTGTCTTCAGTAAGAGGAACTCTTTATGTTTAGGATATTTGCACAGAAAGCTATTGTGAAGTCAGGACATACTCCATACTTTTGCCTCCATATCAGCACTTGTTGGCTTGGATGGTTGATCAGTAATTCAAATGAATATAATACTAATCTGCTCTCATCACAATGATAATTTAGATTGTATGGTTTTTGTAAAACGGCTTAATGAGGAGGATATTCACTTACTATTACTAAGAAAGTGAAAGAAAAGGTGAACGCAATAACGTCAAAAGACATGTCTGCTACTTAATCAATTTGGCTAGCATGTTTAAATTAATTGCAGTTGATTATTGTGGGAAATAAGGTTGGCATCTCTCCTGACAAGACGGGTCACAACTTTTGGCTTTACCTGTTACTGGACCCAGTACATACTACTTCGGAGTCTCGTGGATCTAGTGTATGGACCATGTTAAACTACTAATGAATGTACATTTGTGTGCATATGTGCGTCTCTTCAATTATTATGACCTTCGATTTTTAATGTCGTTCAATTTCAATTCTTTAGTAGATTTCTTCTTTGCTGTTTTAGGCACAAGTTTTTTGTTTTCATATAAGATTTTCTTCTAATCGAACTGAATTCATGGACAGGCCAATTCTAATGGCTCCAAAATTTGGTTTAGATGATGGCTCCATCTCAACTTTTGATGCCACCTTGGTACTTGCAACCATGCTTATGTCACAGCTCAATACTGCTGGCTCCTCTGAAAATCCACAAGTTGCTGGTACTTCCCATGGTGAGGCTAATGATGGAAGACAGGCCCCACCCCAAGAGAGATCAAAAGGGAATTCTGGGCTTCCATCTGATCAGACCAGGATTTGGTCCGATCTTTCAGGTTATTATTCTCTGAACTCTTGTTTATAGATGGTACAAGATATTTGATGGTAATATTTACTTAATTGTCATAAATTTCAACTATAAAACAGGAAGCAGAACAAAAGGTGGTAATGATGCTGAACCTGGAGGGGGTAGAAATGAAAATGATATTGAGCCAAGGGAAATTCACCGAATTGGTGCAATACACATATCTGAAGCTGGAGCTGCTGGAAGAGATATGTCTGATATACATAATGAGTATCCTAAACTTATTTTGCTGTCAAAGTTATTAGCAATTTTAATGCTCCATTTTAAAACCTATTATTAACTGCAAAATATAAGCTAAAGTGGTTAAAGCTAGCCAACATACAAACAAAACAAACAACAACCCCAGTATAATCCCACTAGTGGGGTCTGGGGAGGGTAGTGTGTACGCAGACCTTACCCCTACCCTGGGGTAGAGAGGCTTTTTTCGATGGACCCCCAGCTCCCTCCCTCCAAGAACTCCCCACCTTGCTCTTGGGTGACTCAAACTCACAACCTCTTGGTTGGAAGTGGAGGGTGCTTACCACTAGAGCAACCCACTCTTGTCTTAAAGCTAGCCAACATGTCAAGTAAATTTGGTTTGCCAAAGTTTCAATTATAGGTACATATTTTACAACCTATCGAGGGGTAAGAAGTGTGGGGTTTTGGTCCCAAACTATTGGGGTAGCCTTGATAAGCCTCGATATGTATGAAATGTCTCAGGGAATATGACTCTCAGGTCTGGTTTGGATTGATACAGTAAATTTTTCGGGGAGAAACCTTTGTCCATCTGAAGCTAATATAATGGGAAGGTATTTATACGACAAGGCACCTATATCAACCGTTCCAAATTTCTTGCATATTTTCTTCTGCATTTTCCACGTGGTTGTTCCAGGTTGTAGTGGATAACATGTTATGCTGAGTCAGCTCTCTTTACGTTAAGTGGTCATTTGGCTGCCCTCATAAGAAAAGTAATCCAATGAAATTCCTTATCTAATAGTACACTGTTTCATTTGAAATATTAAAGCTCTGCATCACTGATGTAATATCTACTTGACTAGTTTTCAAGTATAAAACTCTACATAACTTATGCAGTGTTGGTTTCCGATATTAAACTCTATTTACGTGCATACATAATTTATACGTGAATCTAAATATTATTTTATGCGGGATAGAATCTGAAATAATAATGTATATTAGCAATTCAAGGATAAAGTATCGGAAAGACAAAATTACCCTTATAGTAGGCAATCTCTGCATATCAATCCCTAGGTTATTCATTGCATAGCAATTCATGTTATAAACCCTTGTTTAAGTAGTCCCTTAACCAAACAACCCCTAGCGGTATCTAGGATAGACATAGTAACTAGATGAAACCGCATATACACACACACACACACACGCTCCAATCATCCAGATGATCTATGTGAGCGAGATAATGGATTTTGATGGTGAATTTGAAAATTGGTGTGAAATTCGAAGTACTTTATAAGTGGACTTCCCAGACGAAAGTGGCTTTTCTTGACAATATCCATTAGCTTCCCTTCTGAGGACAGAAATCATTTGGAAGAACCTCAAGGTTAGTCAGATTCCAACTCTGGTCATTTTAATTTTTCTAGTCTAATCAGCTTAAGATGCTCCAATTGTGTTCTTCAGGCATGACAGATTTGAAAGGTAATGCTTCTCAACACCATCCTAGTAACTGGGTAGATGCAGATGACGACGATGATGAAGAAGATGAGTCGGAGTTGTGTGTTCAATCAACGCCTCCATATCATTAGGAAGGAATACAGCAACTCCAGTTGCTCTGTAATCCTTACTAGCAATTGTTTATTGATGATGTCTGTTGTATGTACAGTTGTCCTCCCAATGCTCCACTAATCTGACTTTGCACTTGGTTCCCTCTTACCTAAGCAGTCCTCTATGGTTAAATCATGTTTACCATGAATTATAATTGGCCTGCAAGCATATATGATGATACAGCTCATTAGTTTATATTTTGAAAATTTCGTTTTCTCATTCTGGTAAAAGAAAATAACACATGGAGAGAGTCTAGTAACTCAGTACCATACAAATAACAGATCCTTTTGGAATCTTTAATTAATAGAGGATCTTTTGAGTTGCCAAAAATTTAGTCAAGAATCAACTTCCCCGAGTGGTTTGACGTATTGCATAATCTGGAAAGCAGCTTCTTAGTGAAATGATGCCGGCTTCTCCATGTAAAAATTGGCTGATCACTCCTCCATGTTGTAAGTATAAGTGATTTCCGGGATAAGTATAGAAAAGGTTGGCAACAAGTCTCCTTGTTAGTAGATAGGTGTCACCACTCAAATCCCATCAAGTCGTGATGACACTTAACCTAACCCACTAGGCGAACCAACCAACATACAAGACAACCCAAACTGAACATCAAATAAATAATAAAATAAGAACGCGAAATTTAATACAAACCACTCCAAGAACTGCTGTCACAAGTCATGAGCAATTAAAAATAAGAATACTCTTGCAGATATGAGAAAGTACATTATCAGTTTGAATATACATAAATAGAAATATAAGATCCTAGGCTACCATGAACAAATAGCAACTGATAACAGAGATGATGATATGTCTTCAATGCTCGCTCTTGAACTTTGCAACAACTCAACTCCAGAATTTGCACGCAAGGTGCAGAAGTGTAGTATGAGATCCTAGGCTACTATGAACAAATAGCAACTGATAACTGAGATGCTGATATGTCTTCAATGCTCGCTCTCGAACTTTGCAACAACTCAACTCCAGAATCTGCACGCAGGGTGCAGAAGTGTAATATTAGTACAACCGACCTCATGTACTCATATTTAGTCAAAAAATACTCACTTTATATAACCTGTGCAGTTCATAAGCATATACAACAATAGTGAAACAATCAAGGAGCAACAAATATGAATAATAAGGTGCACAATCGAAAGAGAAGATATGAAACATGTTTTTCTTAGATATCATGAAGCATATATCAATGCATCGAATCCGCATATAAAGGAGATATATGTTCCTTATCAAAAAAATAAAATAAAGGAGATATATGTCAAGCAACATTTATTCGAATGCTTTTACATGAGTCTAGAATGTCTATGCATGATAGACTCAAACTTTACATCAACTGACACCCTCCAAGTGTCCAACAACCTACTAATAAGTCTCATGCATATGTAAAATGCACCTAGTAGCATCTGAGAATGATATGCATGAATGATGCATATAAGAATCCATGAATACGAGTATCTCATGTCAAACCATAAACCAGTCGGTTTCTCACAACTTGCACTCACACAGCCCAAGGTAACATTGGTAACCACGTGACTCCGGAGGGATAGATCCAATCCATGCGCCATATCCGAGAGCTCCATAATCAATCATCAATCTGCACAGAACGCCCATCGTGCCAATATCACTCTCATCCTTACCATGTATATATATCAATCCGCACAGAAACACCTATCGTGCCAATATCCTTCTCATCCTCACCATTTATATATATANCGAGAGACTGGCATGCATGATGCAATGTGTATGTACAAGAGAGATAATTATGCATAGTGTATGCATATGCACCATAGTTATAACTTGTAATCCAACATATATTTAGCCCATCATGCCCAATTAAATTGCCAAAAGCCTAAACATAATCTCTAGCATGCGTAATAATGCACAAGTAGTCATACAAACGAGTAAAGCATGTTGCAAGTAGAACATGTACCAAAACAAGGCATAAAGAAGACAATCTACCCAAGCATGGTACAATCTTGATATCTGCATATACGCTCTTCACCTCGCATATACGTCACTCCCAAACACGTAGAATTTAGCGTATAAGTCTTATTTTAGAAAAAAATGCCTCAAGTCGAGGTTAAGCAAGATACATACCTAATCCTGGGCTAGCTCTATTCTTCAAAATCCGCCTTTTTAGCTCCAAATCCATCAAACAAGCCCGATCTAGCCCAAAGAGTACTCAAAGAATTCAAATAAAGCTATTGAACTCAATTCCAAATGATAAAGCTTCGATCATTAATAAAATCTCAAAAGTCAACCTGAGCCTACGTGGTCAAAACCCGGATAGTTTTCAACTCCGAGTGCAAATTGATATTCAAAACCCCAAAATACACTTTTTTAACTTTCAAGTTAAAAATCCCTTTTCCCTTTTGAATCCTTGATTCTAAGGAAAAACCGATGATAGATTCATGTTATAATCATAAATTTGAGTGAGAATCACTTACCCATCGTCTTAGGTAAAAATATCTTCAAAAATTGCCTCATTTCGAGCCCTCTAGCACCCAAAATGATAAAATAAAGTCCAAGTACTAAATGAGGCAAGGTGCAGAGATTTTTAGTGCTGATTTTCCAAAATGATAACATTACCCTTACATTATTAAAACAATCATAACATTCCGTACAGATGTCGGAATGACGAACGGTTTGAATTTCTGGAAACTAGATTCAAAGAGATACACTTTTTATTTTTGGATCATCTTCAAATTCTCTATAGATTGCGGTCAGTTATCTCGTAAAATTAGGTCAAGTGCAGAAAACTATGTTTCGGCACATCAAATCTTTCCAAAACTTGCTCCAAATGCGCCGAAACTCACTCGAGTCCCCTCCAAACCATCCCGACAAGTCCAAATACTCTATATGAACTTGTCCAAAGGCTCAAAACATAAATAAAAATATTGCAACACAAAGTCAACTCTCAAGTCAAGGTTATGGACCGTAAACTTTCAATTTTCATGCAATAGTGTCGATTTGCACCCGAGCCCCTCTGGTCCTAATCCGTATATACGTACAAGTCCAGAATCATCATACGAACCTATAAGAACTTTCAAATCAAGATGCCGAGTGCGTTTACCCAAAATGTTAACTTTGATCAACTCTCTTAACTTTAAGCCTCTAGTTAGGAATTAAGTATTCCAGATCACTCCCGAGCCTCCTGGGACCCAAACTAACCATACATGCAAGTCATAAAATATCTATTAATAGGGGAACAAAAGTAATCCTGTCTAGGTTAGTGAATTCTTAACAACCGGTTGGATCGTTACGTTAGGTCTTTTTGAATTTTTTTTGGGACTTCTCTCATTTCATAAACTGAAGCAACCGTCCATCACCAAAATCTGTTCTACATGTTCATATCTTGGCATGTACTAGTTTGGATAATCCCCTATACGTGTAATACAAAATCATTATCTTTTCTCTTATGTAGAGCAATCACTTGGCTTTTAAGTACTATTCATCCCCTAAATACTATTCCCTCTTTTCCAATTTATGTGAACCTGTTTGACTGGGCACGGAGTTCAAAAAATAAAAAGACTTTTGAAATTTGTGGTCCTTGTCAGAAAGGGGTCCAGAATATTTGTGTGGTTATAAAAGCTTCTCATTAAGGGTAGGATTGAAAGTTTAAGCTAAATTGTTTCCAAATGTAGAAAGAGGTCATTCTTTTTTGAACGGACCAAAAAGAAAATAGGGTCACATAAATTGAAACAGAGGGAGACGTAGATAATAGTTGCTAAGTTTTAGAATGCTGAAATATTCAAGTTTATTACTTTTAATTGTTAATAATTTCTTATTCTTAGATTACTTGATGCATTTTTTACTTCCTTCTGCTATATTATAGCTAGCATGAGTTGTTAAGAATTTACTAGACCTAGCCATTCACCTTGTCAGGAGACTAGTGGAGCAATATAAGGATAGGAAGAATGACTTGCACATAGTGTTGATTGACCTAGAAAGAGCTTATGACAAGGTTCCGAGGGAGATTATTCGGAGGTGTTTGGAAGTTAGAGGTGTGCCTGTAACTTATATTAATATGATCCAGGATATGTATGATGTCGTTAATACCGGGTTAGGACGTTGAGAAGGGACTCGGAACACTTTCCTGTCAGGATGGGCTTGCATCAGAGATCCGCGCTTAGCCCGTTTTTATTTGTCTTGGGGATGGATGTTCTGTCACGGCACATTCAAGAGGAAGTTCTATGGTGTATGTTATTTGCGGATGATATAGTACTAATTAACGAGACGCGAGGTGGTGTCAACTCGAGGCTGGAGGTTTGAAGACAAACCCTAGAGTCAAAAGGTTTCAAAATGAGCAAGACTAAAACAGAGTACTTGGAATGCACGTTCAGCGACGTGACCCATGATGCGGGCATAGAAGTGAAGCTGGATTCACAAGTCATCCCTAAGAAGGGAGTTTCAAGTACCTCGGATATATTACCTCGGAGTTTCAAGTACCTCGGATTCACAAGTTATCCCTGAGATTGACGAATGTCACACATCGTATTAGAGTGGGATAGATGAAATGGAGGCTCATTTCCGGAATTTTGTGTGATAAGAATGTGCCACTTAGACTTAAGCGTAAGTTTTACAGAGTGATGGTTAGACCTACTATGCTATATGGGGCACAATGTTGGCCTGCTAAGAATACTCATGTCCAGAAGATAAAAGTAGCAGAAATGAGGATGACAAGATAGATGCGTGAGAATACTAGGTTAGATAAGATAAGGAATATTGATATTCGGGAAAAGGTGGGAGTGGCACCCTTAGAGGACAAGATGAAGGTGGGAGTGACATGTGAAGTGGAGGTGTATAGATGTTGGCTATGGTGGGGGAGGGGTGCTGGGGAGAGGCAGAGGTAGGCCTAAGAAGTATTGGGAAGTGATGATTAGGTATGGCATGACGCTACTTCAGCTTACTGAGGATATGGCCCTTGATAGGAAAGTATAAATGTTGAGAATTAGGGTAGAATGGTAGTGGTTAAGCGGGCATGTCTTATTTATATGCCGGTCTCATTAGCGTTAGTCTCGTACTTTCATTTCTTCGCATTTACATATTTCTTTTACCATATGTCGTTTCTTTCGCTTTGGTTACTATATCACATTTGCTTGTTGTGGTTACTACTTGTTGTTTGTGCTTCCTTTTTAGTTTTATTTTTCTCTTGAGCCGGGGGTCTATCGGAAATAACATATCTATC